TATATATATATATACCGCGGACGCACCCCCAACCCACATAACGAAACTCCCCCAATTGGACAAATGCTTCCGCTCCACTCCGCTGGCTCACTCCGTTCCGCTCCAGCATCTGTCTCTTATCTGGTATATGAGTCGTATCTAACACCTCCTCATACAACACTTGCAATTTCTGAATAGCAAAACTTTGCCCATTTCATCTGTATACACTGCTATTTCCAAACTAGAATTAACATCTTCTATTCCATATTTATGTCATCATGTGTGCCAACTTATTTCAAGTATAAATCTTTACTATTTATTTGTGTAATGTATTCACTTTATTGAGGACATTCTTGGTCAATTGCTTTCCTTTATTGATCTATCGTATTGCACATGTATGCATGAATGTAAGAGTTTGCATTAGTATAGCAAGTGGACAAATAAGTCAATCTCAAATGCAGAGAAAAAAGAAAAATGAGAGAAAGCGCCGACCTTGTTCTTCTCCCAATTGGCTTTTTCAGGGCAGAGCTTGGCAATGTGATCCCTAGATTTGCATATGAAACATCCATCCCCGGGTCTCGTTCCAGGAATTCTGAGCGGATGCTTCTTCAGACGACCGGCGCCAGCCCTTTTTTCAATTTTCGCCCTTATTGAGGCTTTTCTCTTCTTCAACTTCTCGTTTTTCTTTTGCTTCTTCAGTGTTGGATCTTTAGGAGGCTCCGGCTTGGGGAAGAGATGGGGGTTCGCTTCACGGAATCGCTTCCGCGCCTCTCTCTGCCTCTGACTCACCATCTTCCTCCGAAACCCGGCTCTCCTTGTCCCTTCGCCGCGCAAACCCTAGGAGTTATCTTCTGCTTCCGAAGGAGGGTAAGAAGTGAACTGTACAAGCGGCGGCGGAGACCGGAAGAGCAATGAGAGGGGCGGGTAAGGATTTTTTTGCCGGGAGGTTTGGGCTCACCGGGGAATTTTGGAAAAAATAATAAATCAGCGGTACTGATCCAGAAATACCTCAATAAATTAACATCATAAATTAAAATATATAACTTTTATTTATTTATTTTATCCCTATTGTGATTTGATGTAATTTTATTGGAGTTGAAACAATTATGTGTCATGGAGGAAGAGGTGATGCCCTAAGATTAATTGCAAGAAGTAAGAATGTAAATGAGCCAAACACAAGCGAGCCTAAGCTCAGTTCGTGTTCGGCTTATTTATATTTCGAGCTCAAAAAAATGTGTTCGTGTTCGGAACACGAGCCGTTCATGAACAAAGAGTCGTTTTTGCATTGACAACCCCCGTTTTGACAACCCCAATCACGTAGTCATAAGATATTAAGGGTGGGACAATATTTAAAACATCATTTGAATCTAATTTAATATTTTTTATTTTATTTTCTTCATCGATACTTTTAATTCATTATAATTTTTTGTAGTTTTATAGTCAATTAAATTTTTAAAAAACGTTACTCATCATAGATATATATGTGTATATATAATTGATTAATAGTATTTCGAGCCAAAATGAGTCGAACACGAACTCACAAATATTAGTTCGTGTTGTTCGTGTTCGGCTCATTAACTTAGCGAACAAGCAGAACACGAGTTTTTTAATTAGCCGAACACGAGTTATTCGCGAACAACGAGCTATTTTGACAACCCTAGCAAGAAGGGCATTAAAAGAAAATTTGAAAATAACTTTTTTGGGCAAATTTTTATGTTTATTTTCTTGGGGAAGTATATTCACTTGTTTTTAGAAAAAAAAATATTTTAATAATTATGATGTGAAATATAATTATTAGTCATATTAGAGATGTATTAACAAAATAGCTCTTAAAGTTTTTCTTTTTTGAACCACGTATTTGTCTTTTGAAAAGTACTCTTCTTTTTATTTTCTAATTTTACTATGAGCACCTTTAGAACGACATGATATTAGCATTCATTATTGTTTATACTTTATAGGGTTGTAAAAAATTGGCTCTGACACACTAACATGATTCAAACTTGACTACAAATATTTCAGGTTTGAGTCAAGCTGAATATTTTTTGAGTCGGGCTCGAGTAAGAGAATTCGACGAGTTTATCATTCGGTTTGGTTCGGGTTGATTGGATTTTGGTCAGGGCATTATTGGGTCAGACCTGAACCCGACACGACAACTCAAATTAACATCCATAGGTTTCAAAAATTGACGTGATACACCAACATGAATCGAACTCAACTCAAAAAATCTTGGTTCGAGTTGACCCAAATATTTTGCAAGTGAGATTCAATTGAGAGAATTTGATCCATTCATTATTCGGGTCAAGGTTGGGTTGACCTGATTCGAGTTGAGTCATTTTTGGGTCGGACCCGAACCCGAACCGCCGAACTGAATTGACGCCCCTAATTGTTTATGTAAGTTTGAATGCATTTATTATTTATTGGTTGTTTTATTGTTGAATCCTAGATTGTTCATGAATCACGCCCAATAAATAGAGTGTAAATAAGGAGGGGGAGAGGGAGGAAGAGAGGGAGTAAAAAAGAGTGAGAAGAACAATAATATATCATGTTCTCTATTTATATGGTGCTACAATGTTGATATTACATTTTTTACCTTCTTTGAAGGGATTATCATTCAACTGCCTTATAGCTTGAGCGGTTAAATTTAGTTGTCTTTGGGTTGATATGATCAACTTGGCTGATTGAGCTTAGTCAGTATGCGTCGGTTGGTCGATAAGGAGAGGTTGTCAGATTTCAATCTCTAGTGAGGAGCCTCTAGAGCATCTATAAGATGGTTGGAGATACTGTAAAAGTGGCTTTCTCTTGGAACTTTTCTATTGAATAGTAGGCAATTGCATTAGGTTGATTTTTTTGTAATGGTTGGCTTGGATGCTCATTTGTCTTGTTTTTTGCCATGGACTGTGCTCGGATCATCTAGTCCTCTTCTTGCCCCGCTCGTGGCCCGATCGGTTTTGAACTTGTTGGCTCAGCTCATATAGCTTTATTCAATCAGTCAAGTGGACCATACGCCTTCCTGGAAGTGGACCGAACATCGTCGTACTTTTTTCTTCTTGATTGTTAGGTCTCTTTTAAGATAAGTGCTAACATATTTTTTATATACATATTCTAGTTCGTTGATGTTCTCCATAAAAATGACAATGTGATAATAATAAATGAATCTAATCCAAAAGCATACAACATTTTTTTTTTTTTTTTTTTTTATGATTTAATGATTGAACTTCATCAATTTTGGTGCATTTGTTTCTTATAAATAAGGCAGAATATGACTCCTTTTCATTCCTAATTTGCACTTCATCTTTCGTCATTTGAATCGATCGGCTTCTGGGCATCGGGGCATTGCGATGAATAAATTGTCAAAATTTTATGGTGACATTCCCAACAAATATCCGATCCATTTCGCATTCAGAAAACCAAAAAGGGTGGTGCCGCCTGGAAGGTGAAAGAATGACAAAGTTTGTCGTGTAGAAGAACACGGCTGCACTTATAATGTCGGATCAGGTGGGGTCATCTAATTCGAACATGGATGTTAAGCGGAGCAACATTCAGCTGACAGCTATCATAAATTTCAAAACGCTTGTATGTGAGAATGCATAGTGTTGCAATATATTTTTTTAACTTATGCAAATGATAAAAAATAGATTTTTATGTTTTTTAATTTGTTTTCATGAGTCATGATTAGTTAGAAAGAACTAAGAACAAATATTTAAATGTAAAATTGAAATTATTTTTTAATCAACATATTGATAGACCGAATTCCCTCTTTATTTATATTATTAAAAAATAAATTATAGCTATCTTATAATTTAACAAACCATATTCCATAAATTAGGTTTTGTATGTGTAAATAAATAAGATTTGAGTGGTATGCGTGAGGGACCCATATTTCATGAATTAGTTGTTAGATATGTACATACATAGAAGTTGGGTTGCATGTAGGGCCGTAAACGAGGCTTGTGTTCGCCTCGTTTGAAACTGTTTGTGTTCGAAATCGGCTCGAGTTTGAAATTGACTCGTGAACAGTGTGTTCGTGTTCGGCTTGAAATTGACTCGTTAAAATTAAATTGAAAAAAAAATAGATGTAAAGTATTGAATTCGAACATAGATCAAATGTATACAAAAGAAGACACTAACAACATTAACACTAAAGATGTCTTAGATATAAATGTATATAATGTATTATTATATAAATAATATATGTAATGTATTATTATATAAACAATTATATGAAAATTTTTTATTTCGAGCTAAAACGAGCCGAACATGAGCGAGCAAAGAAATGTTTGTGTTCGGCTTGTTTATAATTGAGCTTTAAAAATTTATTCGTGTTTGGTAAAAGAGCCAAACTCGAGCTACTTAACGAGCTGAATATGAGTTGTTCACGAATAATGAGTTTTTTTGACAGCCCTAGTTGCATTTGCGTCCCGAAAAATTAGCAGAAAAGAGGAAATAAGCCATAGGTGAACCAGGAGGGGCCTTTAGTCCCACATCGAGAAGGAATAAATCTATAAAACGAAGAAGTTGATCTGCTTGTCGAAGGTAGAACTCATCAACTGCGACACCTAAAAGAACAACGAAGATCTTTCTTTTAATTTAATTAGAAAATAACGAAATATAAATAGCAATTTTAGATAAGAATAATTTGAAAAAAAATACGCTAGAAATTATTTTGTTAAAGTGAACATAATCTTAGACTAGAGATGTGAGTGAGTCAAGCCGATTCTTGAGCTGGCTCGACATGATAAGTAGCCCGTGAACTGAGCTCGAGCTAACAAATACGCTCAAAATATATTAAATTTAAAGACTTTATTTTTAAAGTATTAAAAATATTAAAAATAATAATATTTAATATTTCTTTAAGTGATTTTGTATTATTTCTCTCATAATTGCTTATTATATTTATCATTTTATTACAATGCTAGTTTAAATTAATATTATTTTTTTCTCTCATATAACAAACATGCGTAAGTGAGCCGGCTTTAACTTATAGATTTAAGCTCAGCTTGAACTCGATAAAATTAATTAAGCTCAAGCTCAAGTCAAAGGAGAGTCGAGTGAATTCACTCGACTCAACTCGACTTGTTTACATTCCTCATCTTGATCAATTTCATGACCAGATTCTCATCAAATCATCTTAAAACATCCCTCTAAAAATTTTATTCATCTCATAATCAATGAATGACACAAATGAGAAGCCATCTTGCTACAAAAAATCCCCCAAGTCATAAACATTGGCATAATAAAAAATAAAAAAAAATGAAAAAACTTCACCTCAGTGTAAATGTACTCATTATTTTAAATTCCTTCTTATCCCTCAATATAACTAAATCATCAGAAAATACAATTAAATTAAAATTAAAAAAAAAACTTAATCTTTCTAAAACTATCATGCAGTGCAATTAAAAATTTCAATTTTTTATATTACCAAAGAATTTAGTTTTATTCATCTTGTAAATTTAATTATATAATTTCATAATTCACTTATATTGAGGGATATATCATATATTTGACAAATAAAACTCATGATCTTCTCTCCTAATAACCTCATAATAATGAAGATATTACTGCATGCGCATGAAAAAGATTAGTTTTTTATTTTTTTCCATAATTTTCTAGCATTAATAATCTTTCCTAATCATCATCACCATCATCTTCTTCATCAACATCTTCAGCTAACTCTCCTGCAACAACTCCTCAAAAACATTAACCCCCAGTCTTCTCTTCAGCTCGTGACTGCATCAAAAATCAGTTTTTTTTTAAAAAAAATCATCTTTTTAATCTAACAACTGATAATTTACAGGAAAAGAGCTCAAAATTGAGATTTTTAATACCTCAAGAGCTCCCTGTCAGCGACAGAGGAGGAAAGCAATCCTCTTTCCTCCCCAACACCCCTCAGTAAAGCCTGAATCGTGCCGTCGACGATCGGCCGGTCATTGTTCCTCGCCCCCACTGCGGCGGCGTAGAGCTCGGCTTTTCCAAGGAGCGGGAGATCGACGGGGGAGCAACGGTTGCCGAGAGCCGTGAGTCTCTCCAGGGACAGGTGGAGCTCCCGTTCTTCTTCTTCTCCTCCTCCTCGATTTAGGGTTGCAGGAGCCGCAGGTGTGCTTTGGGGATATGTCTCAAGAATCCGACGCTGATACACAACGCATTATTGTATTTCACATAATGAGAGGAAAATAATATTATAAAAATGAAATCTTACCGACGAACGCAGATTCTCCATCCCATCAGCGCTGGAAACAAATCCGGCGAAGTTCGTATCGCCGGCGGCGGCGACATAAACGCCACCCTCGAGCCCATAATCGAGAATCCCATTCATTCCCCGCTTCCACAACAGCCGCAGAGATTCCGCGGCCTCCCCTGCATTCTCGCCCGTGCGAAGCTGCCGGTAAACCGTCTGCTTAACCGCCCCCATGACCGCCATCCTCGCCACCAAGTTCTTCTCCACCGCCCTCGATCGCATCATGGCAGCCCCCAAATCCACCACTGGGCCCACCGTCGCCGGAAATAAAACGGCCAGCGATCTCAGAACCTCCCCTGTTTTCATGTTCCTGTAAAGCCGGCAGGGGTCATGCGGATCCAATTCCGGCGGCGAATTACGGTTTTGGCCGAGGAACAGAGGCGGCGAGGGGCGGTTCTTGAACAGGGAGCGTAGGGCGTTGGTGATCTTGCGGACGAAAGCCATTGATTGAATTTTTGAATTGGGTTCTTTCTCTGTCTCTGTCTCTGTTTCTGTGTCTCTGAGCTTATGGAGGGGGTATATATGGATGAAGGAAGCCCTAGAAGAAGAAGAAGAAGAAGAAGAGTATCTTTCGTGCGGTGCAACTGACGCGAAATAATATGCGGAGGAGGCCGATGACTTTCCATATTTAGCGCGGATCACAATTTTAATTTGAACGGGCCTTATAATTCTTTTATAAATGAAATTAATTAATTTTAAAATATTACATTTATGACCCGGATTAAATTTAATGAATTGCTTGTTCAAGAATTGGTCTTCATCAAGCGCACCGATTAAGGATTTATTTTCGGAACCGCGGCTTATTGAATAATTTGTTGATAAACTGATTAAAAATAATTTGATGATAAGTTGGGTGTGATGGCTATTACAAATTTTTATTTTCTTAGAAAAGTTATACCACCGTCAGAAAGTTGTCACCGCACCTAGACGCGGTGTGAAAACGCTGTTTTCGGCGTTTTGAAAATGCATAAGCTATCAAAACATGTAAAGTGCGTTTTCAAAATTCCAGCGCACCAAATAATCTGCCTCAAACGGATTTCTAAGTGTCTGAGAGTTAAAAAATAAATAATAATACCATTTTATTGATATATCCAACTTCATCAAATAATTTAAATTTATAACATATCTTAAATGAAAAAAATTATTTTAGGAAGATTTACGTAAATACCACTCAATTCTTTATGTATTTACATATTTAATGCCTTTATTTTAATTTTTACATATATACCGCCTTATATATGTATATGAAAGGGAGTGTTTTGATATTTATATTTTTTATGTAATATTAAGGATTTGGATGTATAAATGTAAAAATTAATATTTAGGTGTTAAATACATGCAATACATAAGAATTCAGAGTAATGTATGTAAATGCCCAATTATTAAACAAGTATTACTAAGAATATTAAGCTTTAATAATATGTTAAATTTTTAAGAGATCGTAGTTTCCACCTCGCTAACTTCAAAGGAGAAAATATTATGTCCGATCGACCACGTTGATCATATCATACCACCGAATGCATGATGTGATGCAATTCACACCATCGCTCACACGTCTAGGGGTGTAAACGAACCGAACACGAACAAACAAAGCTTGTGTTCGTGTTCGGTTCGTTTAAAATTTAGTTTGTTTGAAATAAGCTCGTGTTCATTTCTTAACGAACGAGCCGAACACGAACCGAAATATTAATTATATAACTTATATTATATAAATATACAATATCTATATTAGTATATTACTACTATAGTATATTAATATATTATTATTATTATTTTATTATATATTATAATTTATAAAATTTAATGTTTTAAAATAAAATAAATTATATATATATAATTATTTTATATTATTTTATATTTCAAACAATAATGATTCGAACACGAACGAACGCATCACTGTTCGTGTTTGGTTCGTTTAACTAACCGAACGAAAAAAATTTGTTCGTGTTTGTCTCGTTTACTTATCGAACGAATCGAACATGAACTCATTGACGAACCGAACACGAATTGTTCGCGAACAACGAGCTTTTTTGACAGCCCTACACACGTCTGACATTCAGTTGTAATATTTTCTCGCTTCAAAGGCATCAGATTGCTAGTGTCAATACAATGTTCTAAGTGCTAAATACAATTTGGTGTGAATGAGTTCCACAACAACTGGCAAATGGGCTGAGCATATTTCAACTCAGCTTAATTAAATCTAAATTTTATTTTAATATTTTATTATATATTGATAAAGAAATTAGAACTCTATTAAAATGAATTTTTAATAGTATAAAATAGCTTTAGAATCATTGATAATCAGAAGAACTTGCTTTATAAATTTAAAATCATTTAAATGTACTTTAAATTTTCTATAACTCTTACATTACTTAATGAACTTAATTTAATTTTCTAATTAAATTAATTTCTAATCTTATGAAATTTATTGAATGAGCAAGTAATTCCCTAGGAGATCTTATGAAAATTTAGAGTAAACTAAAGATGCATTTAATTTATTAAAAAAATTATTAAATTAATAGATTAATTAATTTAAATAAATTAACAAAGAGTAATTATTGAACTTGATATTAATTAATTGACTTCTCTATAATTTTACAAAACATTATGATTTTTTTGAATTTTTAATCTTGCCTTTGAAATTTTAATTAATTTATTAGTAAATTATATAAAACCTAATGAAATATAAGTTCTTATAATTATAAAATTTAATTAAGGAAAACCAATTCTTGAACTAATTCGAGAAAATTAAGGGAGGATTGAAAAACTCTGAAGGATCATCCATATAAATTTTAGATTGATTCAAGATGATTAGACGTGTTACTGAAGTGATTAATCTCTTACACACTTCATTTACTCTGTACACAAAAAGAGAGACTTATAAACCTATAAGTATTAGTAAGTTATTCTAAGTTTATTATATTTTCTTATAGAAATGACTGGCAGACCAAGAGGTGCTGATCCTATAATCAAATTGAACTAAATTTATACTATCCTTACAACATGATGGATCATTAGTTAGCTTGAAATTGCATTGGGCATACCTTATTCCAAGCAATTTGAGGTTGATTATAGATTTTAATAGAGTTTTCTAATCACAATGAAGGACTTTGTTGAAGACCATAACCTTTTATCAAGCTTAAACAATTAGCACTAAAAATATTGAACTCGAATCATTAATAAAGGGTATGACTTAGCTTAGAAAGGTTTACATTAATTCAACTTAAGCATTTTAACCATTATATGGCTCGAACCAATGTTTTGGCTTGCTTGGGCTAACCTAAATGGGTTAAGTCACCTAAAGCAATTAGCTAAGCACCATGGCTAAGACCACATGAAGTTTTAAAGAATTTGATGAAGGCTTGGGTAAAATTGATTCAACTTGAACCATGAAAGGTCAAATGAATTTATAGGTCAAACATAATTTAATTCGGGGGGATTATAATGTCCTAGGATGTTCATGGTTGGCTGCCATGGAGTTTAAGGTGAGCTTGCTCTCATGCTTTAAAATCTTTTATGTAACTATCCTTAAGGTTGACATAATAGATATCAATACTCATCTCAATGATGAGGTTTTCATAATATGGATATTGTATAAGGTAAGACTTGCGATAATTGATTTATTAAATTCCCAATTAAACCCAACAATCAAATTTATGTTGATTATGTTTTCACTCATCCTACTATACATGAGTTTAAAAGATTTGAAAATGTTTCAAAATGGCCTTTAAGAATCATAAAATTTATTCTTAAAAGGGTTGGATACCACCCAAGGTCAAATTGGTTTGTAAGGTTCAATGGAAAGGGTCTATGCCCATGGAACATTATGATTTATTTTTATTTGATTTTAGAAATATGCAACGGCTTGAAATTAAATGAATATAAAATTATTCTTTTAAACCTATTGATTTGTTTTATGATGAAATGGATCATATAAGATATGTGATACCCATTAGACTAAGGTTTCTTAAGTTTGGTTTCTAAGGACTAGTTGGATTTAAAAAAATAATGCCCAATTTTTAGAGAAGTCTAAACCATCATAGAGCTTGAGAGGTCAACTCCAAGATTTAGAATTCCTACGACTTAACAAGACTAGGGTCATTATGAATCCACTTTCAAAAATAAGATCCTAAGTTAAGGAAGGATTCTTTAAAGGCCAAAGCTAAGAATAATGCGGGATTTTGTAAACTCATTAAAAAATGAGTAAAAAATGAGCCATGTTGACAACAAGAACTTATCAAGCAAAGTTAGCAATATTGAGTGCATTGATTCATAATATGTGTATAAAAAGTGAGAGAAAAAAATGCACAATCCTTGAGTCTACATATTGAGAAGGAGAAAAAGCAATCAATAAAATAAAAATAATAAAAAAAAGAAACAAGTTGCCAAAATTTTATTTGATGATTTGATCAAGTAATATAAACCATGACAAAGTTATTTAAAAAGATTTATTATCTCTCAAAGTTAGTTATAGAAAATTCTCTTTTCCTAGAGCAAGGAACAATGCAAAATGATTAAGGGAGAATAATGAAAGATTACTTCAAATCTTAACTATAAGAAAAGATAAAAAGCCCTTATTGACCATTTACAAATACAATTTTTAAGAGTGGATGAACAAAAAAATGATTAACTTTTGCTTTGATAAAGGTAAATATTATTTTGTCTGCCCCGTGATTTCAAGTAATTTTACGATTGGTCAAGATATTTGTGAGTCAAATTTTGCTCAAACTTACTAACCACTCTTGCTTTTAGCTTCATCCTTTTAAGACTCCATAGATAAATCATTATTCCTTGAAGGGTGGCATTGTTAATGGAGTAAGAAATCAATAATGTGGCCATGATGCTAAGATTTGGTTCAAGTGGCGTGCATGCATCTTTAGTAGACTATTCGAACCGTAGGTAGGGAGTTAACGGGAGACAATAATGCCAACAAAACAATAATCACGAGGACTTGTACAGTTCATTGTTTTGAAGATATAACAAAACTATTTCAAAATTATTATCTTGAATAGAATGTGATCCTGGGTAGATTAGTGCGAAAGCATGCAAAATTTTATAAAGTGTATATGTAACATCAAAGATAACATACCAACCTAAAGAGGTTTTATGACTAGCTAGGTTATAATTATTCTTGAGATAACATATGAGGTTAGATTCGAGAATGCACCCGACTAGATTCAAAGATGATCGAGCCAAGATGACTTCTAGGCTTCCCAAGCGAATGAGGTTTGTATTAGCTAAAGAGTTTTTTCTTAGACTGAACAAAGAGTTGGATAGGGGACTATGATACATATAGCCTCAAAGCCTATAACATGCATGATCATGGTTGATCATGAGATTTTTTATTTAAAATTGGGCAGTCAAGTTTGATGGACTCTAACATGAATTTTTAAAAATTATAATATTTGATACTCTGATTATATTAAAAAATAGTACATTACATATTAAACCAAGAACACGTGTAATAAAATTAAGTGCATCTTGATGCCAAATATATCAAAATATTCCTACATAATTTTTGGGGCATTTGCATACATACCACTCAATTTCTATGCATTTACATATCAAACAACTTAACTTTGCTTTTATATATTTATATCACTTAAATGTTTCATATCACCTAAAAAATGCTAGCTTTTTAACTTCGAAAAAGTGAAACACATTTTTTCATGCAAAAGTAAGATTGTATATATGATGTAAAAATTAAAATTTAGGGGGTTAGATATGTAAATACATAGGAATTGATCCGTGGCGTGCCTGCAAATCTTCCAAAATTTGTTTCCTCTTTCAATGCTCTATTTTCTTGGGCTAATTCTGGTGCAACTATCTTCCAAACACCTTAACCCTCAGCCTTCTCCTCAGCTCCTTACTGCACCAAAAATAAAAAAAGAGATGATTAAAAAACTCATTTTTATCAGATAACATTTAGTTTCTCAGACAAACAAGTCTCAAAAATGAGATTTTTATACCTCATGAGCTCTCTGTCAATGGATGAAGTAGAAAAAAAACCTCTGTTTTCCTCTGCTCTCCTCAGTAAATAAGGCATCACCTGCTCCACGGGCCCAAATGGCAGATACTTACTAACCCTAAACCCAGCACTCGTTAGCCCCAAAGACAAGCCATCCGCCATTCCCATCAGCTGAGCAAACTGCAACTTCTCCTCCCCTCTCCCCATTCCCAGCTCCTCCGCCTTCGCCGCCGCCTTCTTCCCTGCAACCACCACTCCATCAATTAATTCCCCCTCAAAAGCTTTCTGCTAAACATTTCTGTAAAAAAAACACTCACCGGATTCTAAATTGTGCGTCGCGAGCACCGCCGAACACGATCCCTTCGCGCTTTTCTCGATCATGAAGGCGGCACATTCGTCGAAACAATTGTGGGTGTCCTGAATGCTCCCGTGGATCGGAGAAGCCATGCCCAGTGAGGAAGAAAGCGCAATCTCCCTAGACAAATAAGCACCTCTGACCAACTTGAATCCGATAGAGATTCCGGCCATCTCCGCCGCCTCCACCGCCTGAAAAAGTCTCTCCTTTGAATCCTTCAGATACGTCTGGATCGTGCCGTAGATGATCGGCCGCTCATCTTTGTTGAACTCTAGTGCGGCGGCGTAGACGAAGTGGTCGATTGCTGGCTGGACTGATGTGTACTCGGCGTCGACGAGGAGGGGGAGATTGGCCGCGGAGCAACGGTGGCAGAGAGTTGCGAGTCGCTTGTGGGATAGATGGAGCTCGCGTTCTTCTTCTAGGGTTAGAGGGGCTGGAGCTGCGGGAGTGTGGTAGAAAGGACTGGTGTCCGAGAAGATAGGGAGAGATGGATTCTTCCATGGAAGGTGAAAAGATGGATCTTTTCTTTCCCATCGGAGCAGATCGCTGAGACGTTCGAGAAGGTTGATTGGGGATATTGCAGTGATCTTCACGCAGGCGAAGCTAACCTGTTGAAGGTAAAGCGCTGAGAATAATGTCAACGTAGTTATATGAAAATGGGGCCTTTACATAGAAAAATTAATCGTCTAAAAGTTGGCATGAGCAACTCATGTATGACGTTATGTCCGCCAGTAGTTATCTTTCTCGAGACGATATGACTCTCAGTAGTTGTTCGTTCCTAATTGAAATAATCATCAATAGTTGGCCGTCCGGACGTTCAGTCATCTAATGTGGTGTGTGCACGACAATATGTTCTCCTTTCATCCATAATTTTTGTATGAGAGCACTTACAAGAATAGCATACAATTTTTATATATTCACATATCTCACAACTACACTTTCACAACTACACTTCCATATTATTGTCACTAATAGTGTAAAATATAGAAGTGTTATGCATAAGCTTGGTTGTGAGCCATGTAAATACACAAGAATTATGTTAATTAAGCTCAAATATTTAATATTATATAAAAATTAGTATTGTTATGACATGAAAGTAATATAAATGTAAATATTAAACTTTAGATATTGAGTATGTAAATACAAAGGAATTGTGTGGTATGTATGCAAATTTCCCAATATACTTTCTTAACTTCCATAAATAAACAGCACATTTAAGTTAATCAACGTTACATTACAAGCTAAACTTTTGCAAAAAATTCAAAAAAAAAATATATATATATATAATTCATTTATTCAACAAACAAGGCTTAATATATATATATTTCACGCTTAAATATATTTTATAGAGGCATTTACATAAATACCACATGATTCTCATGTCTTTACATGTCTAAAACTTCCATGTATTGCACTTAAATTTACATAAACAATATAATAATTACTATCTTTTTTTTTTAATGTAAAATACATAATTTTGATGTTAGATTTGTAAATACGTAATTTATTTTAATTGTTATTTAAAATAATTACTAAATTTCCTATTCGTATTGCAAATTAATAAAATGTAATTTATTTTAATTGGTCCCATAAGGATGAAACATTATTTTTTGTTTACATATAAATGTATGTAACTCTGAATCATATACAAAAATTTGAGGGGTATTGAAAATTTATAAGTAGGGCTGTCAAAAAAGCTCGTTGTTCGCGAACAATTCGTGTTCGGTTCGTCAATGAGTTTGTGTTTGATTCATTCGATAAGTAAACGTGACGAACATGAACAAATTTTTTTTCGTTCGGTTAGTTAAACAAACCAAACACTAACAATGATGTGTTCAAATCATTATTGTTCGAAATATAAAATAACTTAAAATAATTATATATAAAAAATTTATGATGTTTTAAAAAATTAAATTTTATAAATTAATAATAATAATATATTAATATACTATATTAGTAATATACTAATATTGATATTATATATTTATCTAATATAAGCTATATAATTAATATAATATATTATCGTTCGCGAACAGATCGTGTTCGGCTTGTTCGTTAAGAAACGAACACGAACAGTGACTTCACGAACAATTTCAAATACAAGCTTATTTCAAACAAACTAAATTTCAAACAAACCAAACACGAATACAAGCTCTGTTCGTTTGTGTTTAGTTCTTTTACACCCCTACTTCTAACATACTTTGTATCATTTTATATATATATAAATAATATATATTAATATTTTATTTTTATTATGTATTAATTTAAACAACGTAAACCAGGTGGCAATGCATAACTGCCAATGCATGGGCAGCACGAGATCAGATGAAATTAAAAAAATTATTTTTGAACGCTTGGGACTACATATTACTAGTAAACAGTTGTCATAAAAATATTCTATTGAAAATAATTAATTATTATAATTATAAAGAAATAAATTTTAAAATAATTAACTCAAAATGGATTAATTTTGTGGGCGACACCATTAAACTTGAATGAATTGAGTCTGATTGAAATCGGCTCGTGACTCATTATATTCTATTTCGAGCTAGCTTAGCTCAAAATTGAACCAAGTTCAGTCTAGCTCGAAGTCGAAAAGAGCCGGCTCAAACTTGAGTTAATTGGATCCGTTCAAGCTCAAAATTGGCTCGAAATTGGAAGAAGATGGCTCAAATTGAATTGATTTATATATATCCATTCATTTAACATTATAAATATTTTTTATAAATAAAACCCTAATCGAGGTTCTTTCAGAAAGTTACGAAACCCTAACCGATGAGGGAGGAAGACTCGCCGTCATATCGACGGTCGACAGAAATCCGGCGAGGTTTCGATCGCAGGCGGCGCCATCAGGTGCATCCTCGAGACCGTAATCCAGTATCCCCCTCATTCCTCCCTTCCACAGCGCCCTCAGCGTCCGCGCGGCCTCCTCCCCATTTTCCCCGGCGCAGAACTGCCGATAAACCGTTCTCCTCACCGCTCCCATCACCGCCATCCTCGCCGCCCAGTTCTCCTCCACCACCTTCGATCGCATCACCGCCATCCCCACATCCACCACCGTACCCATCGCCATCGGATACAGCACAGCCAGCGATCGCACCAGCTCCCCCGTTTTCACCGTCGCAAAAAGCCGCTCGGTGTCCTCTAAATCCAATTTCGGGGCCGATTTCTTCGCCGAGATCGGCGAAGCAGCAACCGGTTCGGCGAGGGATAAGGGGGCTGAGGAGGTGAGGGTGGGGCGGTGATTGATGAACCGAGGGCGCAAGGGTTTGGCGATCTTGTGAGCGAAAGCCATTGATGGAATTGGGACAGTTCTGCGTCTTTTCGGCTATCTTTTGTGGGCGCGGGCGCTTGAGCTTCTACTCAGCCATCGAGGAGCCATAAATGGAAGAAGTAAAGAAGTAAAAAGGTGTGGGAGAAGAAGGGGAGAAATTGCCACATGGAAGATTGGTAGGCGGACGGAATTGGTCAGGGGGATGTGGAGCATTTGGGGATGAGGACGATGACGGAGATGTGATGGAGCGAAATTAGCTGTGTTTTGAAATTTGATTTTAAATTATATAATTTAAAATTGGAGGATTTACATTTATACCTTTCAATTTCTGTTTTTTTACATATCAAGCACCTAAATTTAAAGGTGTATTTTAGGTTTTCAAAGTTGTGATTGGAAAGATTTGAGTGGTATAAAGCTAACAAATAAAAGTTATGTGGTTTATATGTAAATACGTAGGAATTGAGGGTTGTGTGTGAAAGCAACTATAAAGTTAAAATAGTAATGTGAACGGTATATTTGATGTGTTCTTAAACGTAGTGCACCAACTAATTAACTTTATTATTTCGAATAATCCAAATTGTTTTGTTTTCATTGAAAACATCAAATTATATATATATTTTTTATCTTTTCAATGAAAACAAAACCACTTGGATTATACGAAATAATAAAGTTAATTATACATATAAAAATATATATGATGTGTGCTAGAAAATTTACGGCAATAGAGTAACAAATTATTGTCTTAGCGTTATACGAGAATTCAACACACATACAGATGAAAGAGAAACATACAATAATGACATTAGAAGTTTTTACATGGAAAACCCGTAAAGAGAAAAACCACGAGTTCTGACCCAGTCGAGAAAATCCACTATGAATGATGAATATACATGTTCATTCTTCTTCTAAATTAGAAAAGACGAAATTATAAAATTGTATAACAATAATCTGATTTTAGTTCTTGGTGATAGCAGATTGAAAGGGTCATTGTTGAATGTTGTAGAAGTAGTAGTCTGCCGTGAGTGTTGTAGATGGTTGCTCCAGAAGAGTTGACTGATCAGAGAAACTGTATTAAGCAGTTTTGGGGGTTGTGGACCACATAGAGCGTAGTGAGGAGTATGAATGACGTCCGTGGGTCGAAAGTTATGAGTCGGGAGCTACATAAGCTGATAACCACGGAGGTCGTTGTTAACACATGAACCATAATGATGAGCTCTTGTCCCACAAACGAGAAATGATTACTAGATTTTTAAGGTTATAACATTGTCGTCTGACGGTGTGTGGTTGATATTGATTGATGATGTTGGTTAACGGCGATTGCAACAGTTAGCAGAGTCGACGGCGGTTGACATAGTCAACGACGATCGGCAGTTGTCAAGGAAAGACGACAATGATCGACAACAGTCGGCGGTGGTTGACAGCGGTCAATGGTGATGCTGAGCTGCAACTTCTCCTCAAAGCCTCAGGTTCTCTCTAGGCTTTAACCCTCTCTCATGTGAGGGTTAGGGGTCTATTTATAATATTTTGGGTGCAATTAATACATTAATATGAATCATTTTGATCGGACGGTGTAGAGAGTTTCATTGAAATGTACAGTGTATAATGGACATTTGAGCGCCTTAATGATGGTTAAATTAAGTGATCTTGGGCTTGTTGAATTCCTCTTGTCGAGACGCTCGATTTGAGTATAGACTTGTTGTTGTCAGCATCTGTTTGACCTTTCAAATGTGTCCGAAAATCTTCAAGAGTTGTTTAATAACTTGATATAGGCTCAATTTGACTCGGATCAGACTATTTTTTATATCATTAGGTCTTTCTCATTGAACCGATCAGTTTGACTATAAGTTAACTGAAATCAGAGCTCTGGAAGACTTTTTATCAAGATTTAGACGTTTCTTATTCAAAATATCATCTCGAGATCCGTGTCACACCTCAAGATTCATGACGGATGATGAAAATTTGTCGGTGGCATATCAATATATACATATATATATATATATAAACAATTTATCTGTACCCACAAGCCACAAAAGAGTTCAAATGACCTTTTGCACATCTAAGAAGGGCGAAATAAGAACCTTTACTGCTTTGCTGAAAGTATAAGATTTGGAATCCGCAGTAGCGTATGCCGCCCTGACTCGAGTTTAAAGAGGTACCTTTTTCGGTATTTTTGGGACTTTAGCAACCAAAGACATTATTATAGTCGTTAGAGATGACTAATAACCATATATTTATCAAGGAGTACAATTTCACCTCAGCTTCATCCTGAGGTGAACCTTCCACCAGTTGCCAGATAAAGAGGGCTCTAAAGCCAACAGATGGAGTTGTGAGTCATCGCTCGGTTTCTGCATGTTACCTTTGAGAGCTCTCTTATGCGGCCGACGGGTGGTGGACTCTCCTATGAAGGAGGCATGGATGGAGTAATACTCCTTGACTGATATATGGTTGTTGGACATCTCCAATACTTGGCTAATGTCTTCACTAGTTACGTACCAAAAGCATACTAGAAAAGTCCTTTTTTCAGCACTTAAGCTAGGGCGACATGAGCCATTGCAAAGCCTAGATACCCCACTTCCAACATCTCCTTATAGAAGTGGGTAATGAATTAACATAGTCTCTCTTTCTACTCTTGTTTGATCTGCAGGAGGATCTGCGAGTTCTTCTGCGATTTCTGGGTGCTGGCAAACTGTGTTACGAACATTCACTCGAAGTTAGCAAATGACGCTATTAGACCAGGTGGCAATGCGTTGAAAAATCTAAGAGCTGATCTTCTCAGCATGGTGAAGAACATACAATACCTTTATGCGTCAGTGATTCTCAGTAGATACGCTGTCAACTCGAAAAAGGTTAAGTGGTCGGTTGTATCGGTTCTGCTCTTATTGGACTCCAATATCAAAATTTTTATCCTTTTAGGGCACAACCTAAAAAATTTATATAGAAAACACATTCTCTAATTGTCAGGGCACCTCACTACTCTAAATTTTTTGTTTGTCGACCAATGTCGACCCAAAACTATCAAAGTACTCGGAATCCCCTTCTCTGTCTAAAGCTAAGTGGGCTCTTTGACCGTCAGATATCAACCCTTCCTCTTACAGATGTTGCTCCTCTCCCTGAGTCAATGCCTCTCATATGACATCCAACATTTGATCCTTCAGCTCTTATTTAAAAGTTAAATCAGTGATGTGAAAAATTTGAGTAGTAAAAAGGTTAAAAATGAAATTTAGATATCACATATGTAAATACATAGGTGTTGAGGGAACTTTGTGAAAGCAAGGATAGAAGTTTTGCTTTTTTTTTTAATATATTTTAGAATTTAATAAATTATAGAGAATTTGATTGGTATTGTCAATAGTTGACAATTTCATTACTTGCGGTATATCTTATACATTCTTGAAGTAGTTTATCAACTAATTAACTTTATTTTTTCAAACAATGCAAGTTATTATGTTTTTGCTGAAACGTCAAGTTGTATTAGTTGAATACAAACGCGTGCTGTGCCCACCACACACACATTGATTTATTATAATGTGAAAATACATAAAGAGGTCAGAATTTCAATATTTACATGCGATGGAGCTGGTCTTGCCCAAAAATAGGGGGACAAATGATACACTATCAATAAATTTTTTAATTACCAGCACGAAGTTCGATGCATGACACATATCTCGATGTAATTTTTTGAGAAAAAAATGTTCGAACTTTGCTTTGATTTCAACAAACTCATAGTTAAAATAAATGACTTAACAAGACGGGCCTAATGATACAAAAGTTGGTTCAATTTGAGTCAAATAAAGTTCCAATCAAGGCATTTAAGTAAATTTTGAAAGCTTTTCGGGCATATTTGAACAATCAAATAGATGCTAAATCTGGCGAGCTTACGATAGAACAAGTATCTCGAAAAGACGAATCTAATGAGCTTAATATCGCTCTATTCTGACATCATTAAAATTGTTATATGACTAAGCTCTCCGGATCGTTCGATCAAAGTGATTCATATTCTTGCATTAATTGCACATTCAACTCTATAAATAGAGCCCCTGCTCTCTTATGTGGGCAAGGGGAGAGCTTGAGGCTCGAGGAAGAGAACTTTAAGTTTTGAGAAGGAGCTGAAGTCCAACACCGCTCCTACTGTCGTCGACCACCATCTGCCGAATGTCGTCGAACACCACCTGTCAACCGCTGCCGATCACCATCGGTCGCATTCTACTTCGCACAACAAGCACATCCGTGCACCGACGTTAGTGTTCAACCTTTTCCTGCCTATGGAACGAGGGAATATACTTGTAATTATCATTTTATAATAGATTTCTTCAGTTTGGGTCAAATCTCATGGTTTTTTTTCTTTTTAAGAGTTTTTCACGTAAAAATTTCTAGTGTTTCTACTAATTGTTTCTTTTATCAGTTGTGTATTGAATCTTCAAGCAACCCTTATACCACAATCCCTTACTCCACTGTTGCGAATCTTCTAGCATACATCAGTAGTTTTTTTCTTCTTTTGTAAAGCTGTCGAAGGTTCTTTCTATTGATGCCAAACCTTAATATTTAAGGACATATATAAAATCCGGGTGGCATGTATGTAAATTAAAAGTTCTGTAATTCTTCTCATGCATCAGGTTTGGTGGCTGTTAAGTAAAAACTGAAGTTCAGCTGTTAGATGTGTAAATTTATAAGAACAGAGTGGCATGCATGTAAATCTTCCTAGTTAATATCTTCTTATAATGATTGATGATTGAATGCTCTCTTGGCCAATCATTTTAGAGAAAGCTGACTTTCCTAATGCTAATGGAGAAAGATCTGTAGAGAAAAAGAAGCAACAGATTCATAACCAAATTGAACCATTCAAGTTGTATTGATCTGGCTTTCTTTAGAGGAGGATGCAACAAAATAATGAGCCGTTATCTTCTTCGAATCGAAACTTTGATTTCAACGAGTTATTCATTTCACCATTAAATTTGACGTCAAAAAGCCTGTAAGAGTCTTGGTAGTCATGTGAGTCTGTATGATTGAGCGAAATGTATCTTATAAGACATTTGCTTGCCATGCGAGTCTGTGTGATATGGATAGTTTTGGTGGTATAAATGTAAAAAAAAAAAAAAGAGTTTAGGTGTTAGATATGTAAATAAATAAAATTGAGTAGTACAAATGTAAATTTATTTTCTTTGTAATAATGTTTTTTTTATTTATGTGATATGAGTGATTTGGGGATATAAATGTAAAAAAAATATAGTCTAGTTGTTAGATATGTAAAATACATACAAGTT